TTAAATGAAAGCTGTCAATTTAATATTACACAAAGACAGCATGAGTAAATACAAAATGCAGTTTTGAAATTATATCATTTATTAAAGGGGAAAAATACACATACCTACCTGGTCCAGTGTGAATAAGTACGTGCCCTTTAAACCTAATAACTGTGCTTGGCAGCAAGCATTTGCAATAACCTGCAAGTCTTTCAGATCAGTGTGGAAGAACTTTGGCCCACTCGTCTGTGAACTTGTTTAAATTCAGCCAGACTGCAGGGTTTACGAGCATGAACGGTTAAGGTCATGCTAAAGCACCTCAGTGTGATTTAAGTCCAGACTTCGATTCCACTCCAAAACCTTCATTCTGGCTTTTTCATTGAGCGATTCAGATGCAGACGAGCTGCTGTGCTTCACATCATTGTTCTGCTGCGTAACACGAGTGCAACAACGATCCTTCAGTAAACTGGAGCTTCAGAACTACTTCAAACTTGAGGTTCAGTTCATCCTTCAGGAGTTTCTGGTAGAGAGCAGAATTCATGGTTGCATCAATCACGGCAAGTCGTCCTGAACCAGTGAAGCAGCCATTTTTATCCAGTCTTCTTCTGATTGTTTAATCATGAACTGACCTCAATTATGACAAGTGAGGCCTGCAGTTCTTTAGATGTTGTTCTGGGCTCTTCTGTGACCTCGTGGTTGAGTCGTTGATGGAGTAGCTTTGGTAGGTCGGCCTTTCCTGGGAAGGTTCACTGCTGTTCCAGGCTTTCTCCATTTGTTTTGTGTTTCAGTGGAGCCTCAAAGCCTTAGAAATGTAAGACCCTCTCCAGACTGAGAGGTAAATTACTTTGTTTCTCAGCTGTTTCTCTGGATTGTAGCTTGATGTGTTGTTTTTTGAGATATTTTAGCCTACTGCACTTTGTCAGAGTTATTTTTGACTCATAAACAACATTTTTAATGATCTGAAACATGTAAGTGTGACAAATATGCAAAAAAGAGAAAAGAATTAAACTAAATCAGGAAGGGGAAAGACTTTCTCACAGCCAGAAATTGTGTTCTGCATTCACAAAATTAGAACAACTAGTTTTTCTGGTGCCTCCCAGTGAAAAACTACTTCTGCACATCCCTCATTTCTAATGCACTTAAGTGCCCTTGAGCAGGGCGCACAGTCCTGGCAGCGTGCTGTGGAATCATACCTGTTCATGGTGAAGTCCAGGATCTCTGCGGTGTGGCCCTTGTACTCAGCCACCATGTTGCCTGAACGAGCGTCCCATAAACGCAGCGCGCCGTCTAAACTGCAGGTGGACACCACAGAAGAAGACTGTTCCCACTGCAGGTGAACGATGCCAGCCTGGAGGAACAGAGCGATGAAAAACAGGCGACACCGACATCAGTCTTAAAGTAACATAATGAGTAAAGCTTATTACAGGCTGGAGGGAAGAGAGTTGATGTTTTTAGCTCCTTTTTCGGTAAACTGTCAAACAATGACTTCCTGCCTGAATGTTCTGTGTCACATTATCTGCACACGAGCAACATCCCTTCAAACAAACCTCCCTAACCCTGATATGACTGCAAAGCCTCCCCACAACACACAGAGCATAAACCAGTATGAACACAGGCGGGACCAGACGAAACGTGCACGAACTGTCCCGCTGTCGGCCGCTTCTCACCTCGTGGCGGCATCTGTGCCTCAGGGCTTGCGTGGAGAGATCGTATATGGCCAGAGTCCCATCCAAGTACGCGACAGCGATGAGCGGCAGGCTGGAAAGGGCGACAACAGTGAAACGGTTGAGGAGGAGCTGAGGCTCTGATATGTTTCTGTATCACTGGGAGTGTGCAGCCCACTCACACGTTGCAGAATCCCACAGATTCCACAGAGTTCGATTCCTCTTCATCTTTTGAGCCTTTTCCTTTGCCTCCTTCCACAGAGAACGCGCCGACCACCTTCACACAGACACGCAGGTCAGACACAGGAAGCATCTGCTTCACTACACTTCCTGCCTGCTTGGTATTGGTTGGCTGTGGCACCCACCTTTCCCGTGGTGATGTTGATGAGCTTTGCACAGCCGTCCACTGAACCTGTCAGCATCAGAGAGCCGTCCTTATTGCAAGCCAGGCAGGTTAGCGCCCCCTGGTGTCCATCCTGACCTGTTAGGAGACAAACAGACATGCATCTCAGTAAAAGTCTTGAAGCGCCGCTCACTTCTGTTTATTCTGCTAGAAGAAAAAGAAAAAAGAAACCGGTAAAAACAATCTGCTGCAATAATGTTGATGTCCAGACTCTGGGGAGGCCAATCCATGACTGATAGTTTTCCACTATGCGTTTTTCTAAACAGGTATGTTTGGATCACTGCCATGCTGGAAAATGAAGTTCTTGGCAAAAAGAGGCTTTCAAGATAGAAATGCAAATGCAGCCCAAACCATGAGACGGCCTCTACCGTGTTTTACAGACGGCTGCAGACACTCACTGCTGTATCTTTGGCCTGATGTCCTTTTGGATGCCTCACTCTATAAGACCTGCCACTTCTCTCACGTTCAGTTTCTGGACTTCCACATGCTGCTCATCTGCTGTAGATGATTTTTTTGGCCTGCCACTTCTATCCTCCACTTGGCAAGTCTTCTTAAATTTATAGGACACACTGCACACCGTGCTGAGAAGTACCAAACAGTCGCCTAATAGCTCTTTGGGAATCGCCTTGTTGGCGCAAAAACGACTATTTTATGTTTGTCTCCAGCTTTATCATCTTTGGCACAGATATAAAACTACTGATGCCTTTCTGTGAGACACTGCTGATAACAAAGTGACTAAAGATAAAGGACGTGTAGACACATTGCTGGTTCATCCCTTGCGTGAGCTGTGATTTTTT